GTTAGTATCCCTGTCTTCTAGGTTTGTGTGTTAGTATAACTATTCCAGGTTTGTGTGTTAGTATCCCTGTCTTCAGGTTTGTGTGTTAGTATCCCTGTCTTCAGGTTTGTGTGTTAGTATCCCTGTCTTCAGGTTTGTGTGTTAGTATCCCTGTCTTTTAGGTTTGTGTGTTAGTATAACTATTCCAGGTTTGTGTGTTAGTATCCCTGTCTTCTAGGTTTGTGTGTTAGTATCCCTGTCTTCTCGGTTTGTGTGTTAGTATCCCTGTCTTCAGGTTTGTGTGTTAGTATCCCTGTCTTCAGGTTTGTGTGTTAGTATCCCTGTCTTCAGGTTTGTGTGTTAGTATCCCTGTCTTCAGGTTTGTGTGTTAGTATCCCTGTCTTCTCGGTTTGTGTGTTAGTATCCCTGTCTTCAGGTTTGTGTGTTAGTATCCCGAAAACACTTTACTATTTTATGATTTTCACTTTCTAACTTCATTCTTGTAAAGTTTATCATAATATAAAACGTAAGTATTTTAAAAGATGTATCATTAAATGTTGCCAAGGGTTAAAAGATGTATCATTAAATGTTGCCCAGGGTTAAAAGATGTATCATTAAATCTTGCCAAGGGTTATTCTCAATTTTTATCTGTAGACAGTAGATTTCCAAAATCAGTGTTGATTTATTCAGCCATTTTTGTTTTAATAGTATAATATTTTAGATAAAGACTTTCTTTTTCTTTGCAGTCTTCCACACCAACTAAAAATGTAGTTAAATGTGGTACGGTTTTGGATTTGCATCTCTGTAAACTGTATAAAGCATGTGTGTGTTTATTAATTAATAACCAGCTCTGAAAATTATAATAATAATAAAAAAACGATTAAAATTTTCCATCTTTTTGCAGTTCCTCACAAAAATCTGATGTTTTTTTTGAAGTTTGCATGAGAAGTGGATTAGAATGTTTTATTTGTATATTCTGTTACTCTTTCGGAGACTTTTTAAAATTTAGAAATAACTGCTCTGAATCCAATGTAAGCATGACTGTATATTATTCACTTGTACAGAAAACTTCACATGTATTGTCTGTCGTATAACTTTTGACTTCATTCTGTGTGTGTTGATTGGTAATGGAAAATTTTTGTGTCTCTTTCTTTTAACGAACTACTTTTTTATAAATTATAATTTGTATAATTAATTACATAATAAAAGCATGCAAGTTGGACACATCCTTTTAGGTGAAATATTTTTGTGTTTGTATGAATAAAAGAACTGACTGCTGTAAGCAAAAGTTCAATGTTAAATGATGATTTTGAGATTTTTTAATAACTTGTAAGCTATTCCTAATCCAACTCCAATATGTGAAAAGGGTTTAGGAACTTTTCAATAAATATTTTTTCTTCTTAAAATTGATGTATGCTAAATCGTGTAACATAGAAATTGTAAAACAACTTTATGTCAATAAATCCATGTTTTTAATAGATGTACTAGAAGCATCAAGCAACTTAATTATTATTAAGTTCTTTTTTTTTTTGGGGTCATTTACCTCAGTACCCTTTTATCTCAAACACACAATTCAGACTTTTTAATTCCAAGAAATTTTCCTCATTTAAACACACTTTATGATAATCTTGTTTAAATAAAAATTATAATTGACAGCTGGTCATATGTAGGGTTTTCTGTGTTAAAAAAGCAAGTTGGAGAGGGTTATACTGGATTATTACACTCCACAATACTTTTAAAAAGTCGAGAATTCACTAAGGCTGAAGTTGTTGAATATCTTACCTACTTGATATATTTAGATAAAATTTTTAATCACAGAATAATGTAAATGGTTATTTTATATTAGAAACATTACCTTTCAGCAGATGTTAGTAATTAATTGTGATGTTTTATAATCAACTGTTTAGTCTTGCAGTAAGTTTAGTAATTAGGCTGCTATTAAAGTTTCAAATTGAGTGGTTTTATGTATATAAAAATAAATTGTAACAAAGTAGACGAAAGGCATAAACTCGAATTATAAACCTGAAGGTTCACTGCCAGTTATAAAAAAAAAAAGTGCTCTGCATTTTGAGTGTTTTACAAGGGTGACAGTCATATCCCTCTATTCGACCATACAAGAGTTCGCGTTTGTTTGCTTAACAATAGATGGCGCCCTAGGAGCTAGTATTGATTTTAACGCAAAGCTGCACAATGGACGGCTGTCATCGCTTTTATTCTCTGAGGGGGGGGATCCAACCTCGGATTTTGGTGTTGTAAGTGCATAACATTAACGCTGACCCATTGGGGAAACCCTCTAACAGCTCAAGTGACCTCAACAATTTCGCGGGTCGATAATAACATATAAAAGATTATCTATTACTAGTAGTGTTGTCCTATTTTTTTAATCACTGGGATGTTATTTGAATAAAACATAACTATAGTTGTCAGACAGGAGGTGGTATCTCTTTTTATCATGTGTTTGTAATTAAGCACAAAGCTGCACAATGGGCTCTGCCACCACAAATATCGAAACACGGTTTCGAGCGTCGTAAGTTTGTTGACATGCCGCTGTGTTAAGTGTTAACAAAATGTAAATAATTATACCTTTAATACTGAAGTTGGTGATTCAAACTTTTTAGGTCAAAACTTCTATGTAATTACTATAAATCAGTGTCGCATCATCTTGTTTGTACGAGTCCACACCCCAAGTCAACAGGCTTACAACATTAAAGTTCGGGTTTCGATTCCCGTGCTTGGCAGAGCTCATATAACCCATTGTTATAGCTTTGTGCATAACAACAATCAACCAACCCAACCGTTACTCACAACATGGAGAATGGAGTACTATCAATTTTATATGTAGCAATGCGCATAAATGTAAACAATCAACTTTAGCGAATTTCCATAAAAATCACAAGCAACATTAGGAAATTATTATTATATAAAAACTAGATGTACTTCTACAGAGTAAATAAAATTAAGAGTAACAAATATTTTTGTTTCTTGCTTATGAAGTTCATATGTCATGTTGTGTTGTAGCCAAAAGAGTGCATAATTCTTCTCGTGATTCATAGCATGTCACGTTTTATTGACGTCACGACAGTACAAATTGCAACGTCAAGCGTCCCTTATGTGAAGTGTCTACTGACTAACAGACAACACCCCCCCCCAGTGGCACAGCGGTATGTCTGCCGACTTACAACGCTAGAATTAGGGTTTCGATACCCGTGGTGGGCAGAGCTCAGATAGCCCTTTGTGCTTAATTACAAACAAACAGACAACACACTAATGTATTGTATTGTGAGTGGTTAAAGCAGGTGGCTCCTAAAGGCGACCTTCAGCTCCCTTTCGGAGAAATTATAGACAACGTCAAAGACTTCTATAAAAATTATAATCATTATTAAATAATTATTCTATAAAAATTATAAGCAACGTCAAAGAGCTCTATAAAAATTATAACCATCGTTAAGGAATTGTTATATAAAAATTATAAGCAACGTCAAAGAGTTCTATGAAAATTATAATCATTATTGAGGGCCCCCCAGTG